CTTTTTTCCTATAGTCTTGTATATAATCAGCAGCCAGTCACCACTGTATGTTGCCTGCTAGAAAACCTATCTTTGCATTTACAATGGTAAACAATCACCAATGGTGGGGTTCTGTGTGAGCTGGCAGAGTGATCACACAGCTCTGCAACACCGATCTATATCCCAGCAGACTGAATCGTTCTTGAAAAACACAAGGAAAAAAATTGTTCTATGTGCTTCATTGGGGGAGATTTACTAAAACTGGTGCACACAGAATCTGGTGCAGCTTTGCATGGTAGCCAATCAGCTCCTACCTTCAGCTTGTTCAATTAAGCTTTCACAATAAAACCTAAAATCTGATTGGTTACTATACATAGCTGCTCCAGATTCTGTGTTCACCAGCTTTAGTAAATCTCCCCCAATGAATCATCACAATTATAAGGAACAGATCACAACACAATAAATTATGCTGCATTAAGTAAAACTATTAATTGTATTCATCCTGGCCATTACTGTAAATGACAAATTTACAGTTCTAAAGTTCTACAGTGATGGACAGTGGGTTGCTCTCTCCACCTTCCTCTCCCCTTGTCCATTCACAAAACATATTGAATTCTTTAAACAGAAAGGTGTTCTGTGAATGAACAAGGGGAAATTGTAATGTTCACCCACTTCTCCTCTCCCTTCATGCATTTGAAGAACGCCTTGCATTCAGTGAATGGAATAAAAGATATTTTGTGAATATACAAGGGGAGAAAAAGATGGAGAGTGAGCAACGCACTGTCATTCAGCAATATCAATGTTCCCATTACACACATTCCTGGTATAGGCTAAGGAATAGAGGGTGCTACAGCAACAGCCTGCTGGAGACCGTTAGCTTCACAGCTTAATAAACAGTATAATTGTATATAATTGCCTGCATGTCATGGGTCTTCAAATATTGTCCAACATATTTTATTCAATGCAATCACATCACAGCAGAAGAGTACAATGTTTCGGGGACATGATATGCCTGACGAAAGGGTCTTGTGCTGACCCAAAATATTGCACCCTTTTGCTGTAATATGCTTGCTTTGAATAATATTTTGGATGAATTAATACTTTCGATGATATTTGAAGACCCACGATGCACCATCATTCACTGTACTAGATCTGAAACTATCAGTTTCAGTGGCGGAAGTTTTGTAGTTACAGTAGTGTCTGGGATAAAAAAAAACTGTAGCTGCTGATTTTTAAAAAACAGCCACTTACCTGTCCCTCGGTCCTGCAGTGTGTCCCCCACAGACTGTTTCACCGGCTGTCCTGTATTCCAGGAGGCCGACATCTTCAGTGTGGGCACCAGGCTGTGATAGCTTGTGACTTCACAGCCAGGTACCCACTGCGCATGCGTGAGTAGCGCTGCACTTCATGAATGGTCCTGTAGTCTTCTGGGACCTGTCACGTGTCCCAAAAGACTACAGGGAGGGAGGACAACTTCCGCTTCCGATCGCCTAGGCGATCGGACCAGAAGTGGAAGCAGATTTCTGTCAAATTCGGGTACCCGCCCCCCCTGTCCCCCAAAGGTGACAATCCTTAATGGGGAGCGGGGGAGCAGTCCTTAAAGCAGAACTTCCCCTTTTGGGTGGAGCAACGCTTTAAGTGTGGTGGCTGCATTAGTTTTCTTTTTTGTTAATTTTTTTTTCCTTTGTTTATAAATGTTGATCCAGCCCATAACACAATTCCTGTCTCAGGTTGTCTCCCCCCTGGATGGAAGAGCTATGGAGACACCATTCAACAGCAGTATTGTCAGTCTGGGGAGAAGGTAGTGTTAAATGCACTAGCAAATTTAGATGGATTTGACTAACAAATTAAAACCAAACTCTAGCTAACACTTTCCAAGCAGATACAGACATTGTTGTTTTCCCTTTTGGGATAAAGAGTTTACATAAATGAATAATAGCTGACCATTGTATGCACCCCTGTCAGTATTAATTGGTTTATCTCAACCCTCTAACTGACATTTTTTTTGCTGGACAGCTTGGCCTGTTAAAGGAAGCTGAAAAATAATTTACTGGGTGGACCACCCGATGAAAATAAAGAAAAAAAAGCCTAAAAAATAAAACAAATGCAGCCACCGCATCTAGGAATCGAGAGGCTAACAGATAATATTTTTGTGTAGGTTTATTATTGCTTTAAAATATATTTTAAAAAAAAACTAAAAGTCAAATTTTGTTTATCAGCATATGCCAGTTTAGCATTCATATAATCAGCTTTATCATCATCAATATGTTTGTTTTTATACTTGTAATTACCACTGTCATCAAGAAGAAAATAAACCATCTTTGTCTACTGCAGTAGTGATTTTCCTGCATATTGGTCAGGTCACGCAAACAAGCACCTGTCATCTGGTAAATGGAGACACTCCTGTCAACAAGAGCAATAAGTGGCAACAAGGGGCTGTCGGTAAGCAGACCTTGGGGGAGTTTCTTGCCCACGGTCAAAGAAAGGAAGAGACACCTGTCTGAATATAGCGAAAAAGAAGTGACAGCATATTGACTCCTGACTGAAAGATGCCATTAAATAATGTATCCTCTGGGATCGCTCCTCTAGAACAAAGCATCTGTTAGTTGATGAATAGTGTCAGCAGGTTGTAGTAAAGAAACATTTGCAAACGGATATGGCAGAATATACTCAACAAGGCCTTGTCATTTTTAGAAACACTTATTTCAAGAGGCTTAGAATTTGAATGAAACATTAATTGAAGTACTCTGTAAGGATGTTTGTTATCCATGCAGGGTTTAAGACTTCTGCATGCAAGATTGTAATCAAATACTGGAAATATGTTGTATTCCTTACTATTCTTCTATGAAGAACCAAATGCTTCCAAAAACAAGAAAATAAAATCAGATTTTATAAAGTAATGAAAGGCTCTACTTAATGTACAGTACATGAGTCTTTGCTAATAAGATTTAAGATTTAATAAGAATTAAGATTCTTTAAATCATATCTAAACCCCAAACTAAAAATGTAATATACAGAAAATACTTCCTGCGCCAAAGAAAACTACTACAGGATCTACCCTGCTGCTGTGCAATGTGATAAAACACACACAAAATGTGACAACTATAAATAAACAGCGCAAACATAGACCTCTAAATATAATCAATCTATAAAGTGCATAATATTACTAAATATATCATAAATAATATTAGTAGTGAAAATCCATCATAATAATAAACACCAAAAGTTCATGAATCACAAAAAATTCGTGTAGAAATAAGAAATCCAGAAATTCTTCAGATGCAAAGAAAACTTCCACCTTCCACCCGTGCAAACCAACATCAATTACACTCACCAGATTTTGGTGAATGAAACGCCTTTTAGGAATTTAATGGGATCCTAAACCCTCTTTCGTATCCACTCTATAGGATTCCTCACGCTGAGCGGTGCATTCCAGCGGCCATTTTTTGGGATCTGTGCATGGTTTTCTCTGTGGAGCTTCTGCTGTACCCTGGAGCTGTGATGTGAGATTCCTGAGGAGGCTGTATATCACTCATTGTCCATCTGGAAGAGGTTATTTCAATAAATGTGCCTTTTTAAAGTGGTTGAAATCAATATCACACTATCTGAGATTTTTTTCTCCCTGGTTGAATGGTGGAGCCTATTCTGATGGTGAGGAATCCTATAGAGTGGATACGAAAGAGGGTTTAGGATCCCATTCAATTCCTAAAAGGCGTTTCATTCACCAAAATCTGGTGAGTGTAATTGATGTTGGTTTGCACGGGTGGAAGGTGGAACTTTTCTTTGCATCTGAAGAATTTCTGGATTTCTTATTTCTACACAAATTTTTTGTGATTCACGAACTTTTGGTGTTTATTATTATGATGGATTTTCACTACTAATATTATTTATGATATATTTAGTAATATTATGCACTTTATAGATTGATTATATTTAGAGGTCTATGTTTGCGCTGTCTAAAAATGTAATATGTTGGCTTGGTTCACAACTATACAGGCTGCATGCTTTGTGTAGGGTAGCCCACCATTTGAACGGACTGCCCTACCTGTGAGAAATGTGGGAAAAGAAGTCCTTGACCCTTTTTGTGAAATCTTGCTACACTGAACTGCATAGTGCCACCGTTTGGCAGTTGTTGATGTGTGTGGGTACCATTAAGGCATCACATTTCTCTGCATGTCAAGAAAGTACACAATTTTGTACAAGTTCTTGACATGCAGAAATGTGAACCTAACCTTAGATGTGGTGACTGCATTAGTTTACTTTTTTTCATCTAACACAGTTCCTGTCCTTTAATGACTACAATCATTTCTCCTTTGTGACTGTGGAAGGAGCCATAATTGTCATCTAGGCTAGACTTGAAATACGTCTGCCTTTGTTCACTCATTTCATTTCATGGTGGATTTCCGGGACTAGTAGTTTACATAAGAAACATAAGCATGTTCATGTTTTTGAGATCAATATTTCTAGTGCTTTCAAGAACAACATTGATTCAAGATCAACTTGTGTTTTCTGTACTTGCTGAAAATCTTCTTAGCCTGGAAAAAAAAACAAACACTGTCACCACATCCAAGTTGACCCACCCTTTGCAGCGATAACAGTTTCAACTCTTCTGGGAAGGCTGTCCACAAGGTTTAGGAGTGTGTCTATGGGAATGTTTGACCATTCTTCCAGAAGCACATTTGTGAGGTCAGGCACTGAGGTTGGACAAGAAGGCCTGGCTTGCAGTCTAATTTATCCCAAAGGTATTCTATCGGGTTATGGTCAGAGCTCTCTGTAGGCAAGTTCCTCCACCCCAAACTCGCTCATCCATGTCTCTATGGACCTTGCTTTTTGCACTGGTGTGCAGTCATGTTGGAACAGGAAGGGGACATCCCCAAACTGCTCCCACAAATGTTGGGAGCATGAAATTGTCCAAAATGTCTTGATATGCTGATGCCTCAGGAGTTCACTTCAATGGAACTAAGGGGCCAAGCCCGACCCAAAAAAACAGCCCAACACCATAATCCCCCCTCCACCAAATTTTACACTTGGCACAATGCAGTCAGACAAATACCGTTCTCCTGGCAACTGCCAAACCCAGACATGTCCATCGGATTGCCAGACAGAGAAGCGTGATTCTTCACTGCAGAGAACACATCTCCACTGCTCTAGAGTCCAGTGGCGGTGTGCTTTACACCACTGGATCTGATGCTTTGCATTGAACTTGGTGATGTAAGGCTTGGATGCAGCTGCTTGGCCATGGAAACCCATTCCATGAAGCTCTCTATGCACTGTTGTGCTAATCTGAAGGCCACATGAAGTTTGGAGGTCTTTAACTAATGACTCTGCAGACAGTTGGTGGACGGATTTTACGGATGGACTTATCGCACAGGTGACAACATATCACGGTACCATGCTTGAATTCACTGAGCTCCTGAGAGTGACCCATTCTTTCACAGATGTTTGTAGAAGCAGTCTGCATGCCTAGGTGCTTGATTTTATACACCTGTGGCCATGGAAGTGATTGGTACACCTAAATTCAATGATTTGGAGGGGTGTTCCAATACTTTTGGCAATATAGTGTGTATGTATATATATATATATCTATATATATATATAGATATATATATATCTATATATATATATTTGGTTAGATATGCTTTAATGTCTTGCTTTCTTGTTTCTAGGTCTGAGTAAAAAAATGAAATCACATTGTTACAGGTAGAAAAAAGGGCTGCAGTCATGTAATTCACGTGTGTTCTTCCTACAACCAATGTGTAGTGGCCCTAGGGGCTGATAAAATTGCTTTTGTGAAGGTCACACAGAATACATTCTTTTTCTGTAGAAATATCCTCAATAAACAGTGTATAATAATAACATGAAAGAGCCAATGTGTAGACATGTGCAATTCTCGTTTTGTTTTGGTTGCATTCGTTCATGTAAGAATTTTGTTTCATCATATGTTGAACTGATTCTTTTTCGGAATTGGTTTCGTATCTTGTGCATTAATTTTGTAAATCTGTTAGTCTGGGTGGAATTAGAAAAATTTTGCAGTTTTTCATAAAGATTGGATTTGAATCGAAAGGATGAGATATATGCTATGAGATACAGAAACTAATCCAACCCGCCAAGAGAAATGGCATCAGCTGACTGGCGTCATGTACATCTGAATTAACAAATGGAACAAAATTTGGATCCATTCATTATCCGAATCCAAATTAATTATAATCCCAATTACAATAAATTAATTTCCTATTACCTTTTTTTTCATGTTCATTAATATTCATTACTATGTCCATTTGGAGATTCGTATACATTCGAATCTCTGAAAATAAAATTTTTGTCCAAAAACCGAAGCATAGCAAAATGAAATGCACATGTCTACCAATGTGACTCTTACGTCATTACATCACAGGTACTACATATCAATTCTCACAGTCAATACTAGTCTAGGGTTTGAGGCAGAGGTGCAGATAAGGTAAAAAAGCCATGGTGGGGGTAAAAATACCTCATGTACTGTTGCCATCCATACTGTATATTTAATTTTTTCTTAGAGTGGTAGTAAATGTCCAGGAGCCCCGGGCCACGGCACAGTGCTCTGAAGGAACGGCACGGGTATGCAGTTCCTTCAAAGTGCATGTATTGGCTGTCCAAAGGAGAGACTATCTCCTATATGGTGCTCTTTTAGGAGATATTCATTTTACCTACAGGTAAGCTTTATTATAAGGTTACTGTAGGTAAAAGTATACAAAAGGAGTTACTACCACTTTAAAGGCAGTAGTTGTTCACATTCAACTGGAGTTGCCCTGTAATGTTGAAGATGTATTCACCACTCATTCAAGTGGCTTCCTCAGTTGAAATGAGTGTCAGGAACATACCCAAACATTTATATATCCACATGGGTGACTAAGTCCCCTAATTCACTTTAATCTTTAACACATTTCCTAAAATGAATCGTATTCAGGCGTCAAAGCTTTAGATATATAAATGTTTGCATATCTTCCTAAAACTCTGTTGAACTGAAGAAGAAACTTGGATGAGTGGTAAAATATCTTAAACATTACGGGACAAGATCTGTTGAATACAACTAGCTACTGTTAGATACACCATGGTCTGCATAAAGGTAAACATTCAGAGGCGATTTAGGGAGTCAAAAGTGACATTGGATGATAGCTGATTATTTTGTCTAAACAAACGTTTACCTCTCACTATTAAAAAATACATGAGAGTCTTTGAAACACAATCCTGGTATAAACTGAGAACCTCTGTTTCAATTGCTGGAGTAGTCACAAAGAAGCATAGAAGATATACTTATAGAAGAATTTCAGGTATGGATATTTTTATACATAAATAGCAGTTGCTAGTGTCTACTTTAATAATTGTAAGCTTCCAGGGGCATCAGTAAGGTATGGTAAATGCACAGTTATATTGGTCCAAGCTGGACCAATGTAACTGTGTATAAAATATCCATACCTAGAATTCCTTGGTAAACATAAATTTAAAAATACATTTTACTTCTGATATTTCAAAGAAATCAAAAGCTGACCTAATAGCCTTGAAGGGATTAATCTCCCTGAGACATAAGGTGGTGTTTCTGATTGGGAGAAGAACAACATTTTGAGTGAATGTTTGTATTATCTTTGCTGTTTGCAGTTAAGAATTCTGACAATTAAGGTGTAAAAAAAATTCCCACGGACACTGGAATGTATTCAAATAATCCTATGTAATGTTAAACATTTGGCATTGCCTTTTGGAAAGTTAACCATAATATGCCTCCAGTGAACAGAAAACTCTTGATCAACATAATTACACTGGGGGCAGGGACAAGACCTAGTCTTGTTATGAAATTTCAGTAGAGAAAAATCAGGTCACCTGCTCTGCCAGACAGAGTTGTTTGTGAACTGCCTCTTTGGTGGGAATGGGGCTTTAAAGTGTACTGTGTGTCAAGGAAACAAAAGACTAGTCAACCCCACACTGCACTGTTGCAGATTTACAACAATGATATTCTTAGCCTCACCCCGCACAAAGATTTTCCAACTCTTGGGACTACAATCTACGTGCCAACAGGCTGAGAGTGATTGTCACTGGGTTAAGTTTACTAAACAATTAACTATTTAAAATGCCACAACCAACTACTTAGGTAGAGAAGTAGTAACTTTCACAAAATTAGCAATAGCAACTTATGATTTTAAAAGAAACATCTGTAACACACACTGTCAACACATACAGGTACATTCAGAGATTTACCATGTAGTAGCGCTCTTCTATAGACAGGGATTCTTTCAGTTTGCATTAGTTCATTAGAAACAGTTTTAACACTTTTCAAAATATGGTTTTATAATGAAAAGATAAAAATAGTGCAAATCAAATATTACAGGTATTACAAAGAAACAAAGAGAAAACAATGCAAAAGAGAAATAAAAAGTTGTTGAGGGTGAGAATACTTGACTATGTCCTGGTTCGGCAGAGTCCAATCAATCAAGCAAGATGGTACATTGGCTATCATATGAATTGATAGGTGATCCTTGGTTTGATGTTACAAGAGAGCTCCCCACTTCAGGGGCAGCCCCCTTCTCAAAACGATCTACCCGATTAAGAGGCTAAGGGGTGGCCATGGGATGCCTCTGTGTTTACGATCATGCCATAGATCCAGTTTTATATAGGCATTTCTCTGAATACCTACATGTTACAGTATGCTAACATGCATATTATTGTCCAGTTTGGAATTAGCTTTGAAATGGATATTAATATGACTATTTTCAGATGTCTACTTTACTTAGCAGGGTTAATGTGTCTCGTGGGCTCTCCATATTGTCCAATATAGGGGTGTTTGGACTTAAAATGTTACTAATTAACTGACAGAGGTAAATATATCCTTATTCTGGCTGTATTGTCATTATTTCAGAAGTTATGAAATATTCTGTCGTTTTAGAGTCTTTGCTAATAACCAGTTAATCAGGAATGTGTATTAGCCATTGCCCCAGTATTGAGCTATTTATGACAGAGTATCTGTTAAAACTCTAATTACTCAAGCTTGTTGAGTCTGCCATTTTTATTAGGAGGGAGGGAATTAAAAAGCGGGTCACTGCTGCTATTCCCCAGCTTGTGTTGAAAACTGTCATGGCTGAATTCTGAACACCATGGTGTCCTTGCCCCTTCACAAAGGCCTGAAACCTTTACCATTAAAAATTAATTGATTTAACCTCAGTTATCCAATTATGTGCAAATAAAATAAATAAACTGAAACTTGTTTTTCTACGTGATTGGATAATTACTATTATACAAGATTTATATAGCGCATACAGTTTGCGCAGCTCTTTACAACGTGAGGGCAAACTCCACATGATATAATACAATTTAATACAGTAGGAAATAGAGGGCCCTTCTCATTAGAGCTTACAATCTAAAAGAGAGGGCCAATTGATAACAAAGGTAACAACTGTGGAGGATGAGCTGATGGAGAAAATACAGTACAGAGGGCGGGGGGCAGGAAAAGCTTGTCTGAAGGGATGGGTTATCAGGAATCGTCTAAATGTAGAAAAAATAGGAGACAATCAGACAGAATGGGGTGGGAAATTCTATAGGATGGGGGAGACTCAGAAGTCTTGGAGGCAAGCATGGAAGGAAGTGACAAGGAAGCTAGAGAGCAAGAAGTCTTGTGAAGAACGAAGAGAACAATTTGGTTGGTATTTTGAGACTAGGGTAGTAATGTAGCTGGGGGCCAAGTTGTGAGTGGCTTCGTAAGTTGTTGTTAGTATTTTGAATTGAATTTGCTGGGAGAGCGGAAGCCAGTGGAGGGATTGGCAGACAGGAGTAATGGTTGGTAAGGTGGATGAGTCTGGCAGCAGCATTCATGATGAACTGAAGCGGGAATAGCCTATGTAAAGGTAATCCTATGAGGAGGGAGTTGCAGTAGTCAAGGTGAGAAATGACTAGGGCATGCATTATAAGGTTTGTGGTGTCTTTGGTTAAGAAGTGGTGTATTTTTGAGATGTTGCATAGGGTGAGGCGGCAAGCTTTGGACAGTGATTGGATGTGGGTCCAAAAGAATAGTTCAGAGTCTAAGATAATACCTAGCACCTTGGCATGTGGGGATGGGTTGATAGTTGTGCCTTCATTCTTGACAGAGAAGTCAAGGGAATATTATGAGGTTGTTTTTGGATAGATTGAGTTTGAGGAAGTGGTGTGTCATCCAGGCTGATATGTCCATTAATAGATTAGTGATGCACGTGGAGACTGATGGAGTGAGCTCTGGGGTAGAGAGATATATTTGGGTGTTGTCAGCGTAGAAATGGTATTGGAAGCCATGGGAGGCTATCTAATGGCCGAGGGAAGAGGTGTAAATCGAGAGTAGGAGAGGTCCAAGAACAGAATCTCAGGGACTCGAAAGAGAAAGGGAGAGGAGAGGAGGAAGTGAGAATGTAATTGACAGGGGGTAGTCCACCATGTCAAAGGCAGCAGAGGTCCAGGAGTAGGAGTACAAAACAG